ACAGAATCACGAAGAGTTCTCATACAAACTTTCCAAAATATACAAGTACAGTTTCAGACGGTTCATCAGGGTGTATTTCAAAATGACAAACATTTTGTTCAGTGTCAATACAAATGTCACAGAATCAGAGACTGTTAGGGTTGGAAGGCACCTCTGGAGATCATCCAGTCCAACTCCTGTGCCAAGGCAGGGTCACTTACAGCAGGTTACACAGGAACGCATCCAGGTGGGTTTTGAATGTCTCCACAGAGGGCAAGCCCATGACCTCCCCGGGCAGCTGTTCCAGTGCTCTGCCATTCTCAATGTAAAGTTCTTCCTCCTGTTGAGGCTGAACTTCTTGTGTGTTTTGTTTATAGCCTCTGCTCCTTGTCCTGTCACTCGGCATCACTGAAAAGAGTCTGTCACCATTGTCTTGGCACCCACCTTTCAGATATTTATACGTATTAATGAGATCACCTCTCAGTCTTGTCTTGACTAAACAGGCCCAGCTCCCGCAGTCTCTACTCATAAGAGGGTTGCTCCAGAGCCCTCATCATCTCTGTAGCTCTCTGCTGGACCCTCTCCAGTAGCTCCTTGTCTTTCTTGTACCAAGAAGCCCAGAACTGGACAAAGCACTCCAGATGTGGCCTTGCTAGGGCTAAGCAGAGTGGCAGAATCACCTCCCTTGACCTGCTGTCCACACTCTTGCCAATGCAGCCCATGATACTATTGGCCCTAAATGCCAACAAGATTGGCATTTACTTTTGAATTTAGTTGCACTATCCTAGACTACCTTTTGAATTTCAGTAGGCAAGGTGTCCTCATCACCTTCCCTTATAACTGCTATGGCAGTAAATTTTATCCAGAATTTATCTTGGATACAATTAAGAGCAGAAGAGGTACTGGTTTGTGTTGCACCCAGAACACTCACCACTATTGACAGGTGGTTCTTTTCATCAGTCCTTTCCTGTTGAATTAATAAATCTGATAAGAGCCATTGATTAGTTCTCAGTGCCGATAAGGAAGATTGTAATGGATGTTCCAATTGGTGTAAATTGAAGTATGGTATGAGAGCACATGAGTATCTAAAGATTCAGGGACAGTGGTTAGAGGGCAATTTCCATACTACCTAGTGACTGTGCATGCTATCCCTTTAGCTGTGCCTAGATCAGTTGGTATAGGTTAGTGGACAGACAGGACAGTCAAAGACTAGTCAGCACAGTCATAACTGTAATAGGCTGTTTGCTAATGACTAAGCAATGGGGACTATGAGTGGTCCAGTGCTCAGTTTTGCTCCTTCGCAGTTTTATTTAACAATACGCAGACAATATCCACGTCAAAGCCTCAGATCTAGCAGAAAATTCTTTTTATCTGGTGCTCAGTTGGTTGTAGTATGGTGCTAATAAGGCCAAGACTGTGGGTTTGATCGCCTCATGGGCTATTCACTTAAGAGTTGGACTTGATGATCCTTGTGGGTCCCTTCCAACTCAGAATATTCTGTGATTCTGTGATTTCTGCAGTTATTATTTACTGCCATGGAGGCATGCTGCTTCTGTAAAAAGGCCAGTGTCCCAATTACTCTCTTAACAAACTGCAACTTCAAGGCTGGGAAATGGCTGCAACTGTGTGCAAAGTTCAATATCTCAGCTTCTTTAGACCTTTGACTCGCACAATGGCAATTGCACAAAATTACACCCCCCACTACATGTCAGAAGACTAATGACACTGTTTGTAATCTCTAAGGATCAAAGTTACAACAGAATCTTGGTAAAAGTTAAGCAGTGTTGGTAATATGCCAGAATGCACATGTGCCCACTAAACAGCTTTATCTGTAGGACAGTTTTATCATTTATGAAACTATTGTACTGAAATTCAGTTACTCACCTCAGGTCACCTTGTTTGGATCACCTGCACATCTATCAGCTTTTATTTTTTGTAATGCATTTCTTTAATTATAGATTCATGTAACATGAATTGGCTCGTGCCATGTGACTCACCTAAAAGAAAACAAGTTCCTTTTGAATTATTTTTTCAATATGGACATTCCTAATTAATTTTCATTCTATGAATGATTTAACTTTAACAGTGTAGAGAAGAAACCTGGAACAAAACTTTACAGGAACCATTTATTACAAAACCAAACCCATTTTTAGAAGTCCACCTTTGGAAATGAAGATATTCTAGTCATGATTTTTGCTCCTTCAACAATAGCTTTATAGTATTTGGGAATAAGATGACAAAATCAAAGATTTAATACTTCTCCTTATTGTCAAGTAACAACGTTAAATTTACATGTAAGTTTATCAGAAACTCCACAGAACACATACTCTGCTGCTAATATGACATTGACCAAATCACTTGAATTTTTGGTTCTTCCAAATTTTTTCAGCACTTGATTTTCCAATCTTACCACTCTTATAAAAATATATTATTGCAACTGTTAAAATAATATCTTAATTTATTTAGCCCTATAAAATGAGTTATTGCATGTTTTAAACTATTATTTTAGGAAGTTAAAGTGAGGCATATCTGAAAACAGTAACCTCATTCTGCTGCCAAATGTAAGGGGGAGTGGCCTCCTGTAAGGGAAAGTAATTGGAAAACTGGGATATATATACAGAAACAAGTAATTTTTCTTGTAAAAATCTTAAGCCAATTCTTGCCTCCTTATCCTGCTAGTAGCCTTGCCCTCTCTAACTAAGGAAAGAAATGTTAAAGACAAGACTGTTCCCAGCTAAAACCTTGGCAGGATGCATACTTAGGTAATAAGATTTAGTTATAGGAGAATGAGCAGGTTACACAGATTGACTGGGCACCTTTTTTTTTTTTTGGGGGGGGGTGTTGTTTGGTGAGTTTTGGGGGTTTTTGGTTTGGTTTGAGGGGTTTTTTGGGGCGTTGGGGTTTTTTTGCTGTGTAGCTGATCATCCAAAGGAATATTATTGTAACAAGTAGATTTCAATTTCACAAAAATTCAGTGAATGGAAGATTTATACTTACATTTTTTTCAATTTGAAGCACTAAAAATCAATGAAAGAAGTCTGATTACGAAGTCATGCAGAATAACAGGGAATAAAAGGCACTCACATAAGGCTCATTCACCTATGGACAGAAAGCTGAAATTCTAGAGAACTGAGGTTGTGTATTTGTGCACAATCTAATCACAGGCTTATAAAAGTCAGTGAGGCAGAACAATAAGAACTTCAATCACTGCCCTTTTATGGGATAAATCAGAAAAGATGGTTCAATATTAAGTGGTGGATTCTAGCAAAAGCTGAATCCTTGATTGTTCTGGACTCCCCAGTTATCCACAGCAGAGAAAAACTCAAGACTCATGACGGAGCACAATATTACCACAAACCCTTCAGTCTGTCAGCAAACATCTTTGGCTCCATGAAGGAAAAACCCAATGGTCTTCCCTGTCAAATACCCACCCAGACTGACAGGCTGTCACTCTGAAGCCACTGAGGTGAGAAAAGAAGCTCCAGTTGTGAGTAGTCCCCAACAATCTAGAGTAAATGCTAGAGTAAAAAATTAGCATATTTACTATGCTTGAATGTTCTGTAAATATAAGCACTGCGGAAATTCCTTGGTATACAATAGGCAAGCAACAGCTCTGCTCATGGATACATGTCGTGCCTTTCTTAGTTGTATCAGCTCATTTGTCAGCCTTTATTGCAGCCAGAAATTACACATTTTGACTTCTTGCAGTGTGTAAAAACTTCTAGCACAAAACTACAACCTCATGCCACAGAGTTATGTTCAGTAAGCATGGTAGAAGATCCTTGAATTCTACTTAAATGTTGAACTAAGGGATGACTGATAGAAATTTTCCCATGAATGATTGTAAAATAATCCTGGAATAAGCTCCTTTAGACTACAAATATTTGATCAGCACCTCTCACACTCCTTTTGTCTGGAACGAACTGATTTGTCCTGTCAGTTCTTAGATGACTGATGTGATCAATTGAATACAATTTCTTTTGATGCAAAAGACATGTAAATGATAACAAAGCATGCCCATCACATTGTCATTTCATAGGAATAGAAAGATGCCACCAAAGTATGATACATGAGGGGCCACAGGCCTGCATAAGACATCAGTGCCATCTTGAGATGCTGCCAAACATTCTCCAGCAGCCAAGAAAAAGGGGTTTGAGAGTGATTGTTCAGAGTAAATCTGTGGTGATCATGTAGGCAAAATGTACTAGGGCCTTGTGTCAACACAACCTGGATGAACCAAATGTTGGTTCCAGACTACTACATTATTTATACACTCTGATGGCAAAAGACTGCCCATTATTGTTCTGTGCTTTCTTCTCTACCTAATCATACTTTCGTTTTGCGCTATCCTTCCTTACTTCCCCAAATTTATTTCTGTATCTTATAAATACAGAACATCTTATAAATAATATTGTTGTATATAATAATCTTACATATATAACTTCTTATAAATAATGTTTTCCTCATATTGTTTCTCAGGAAGAATATTACCTTCTTTCTGACGCTGATTGTCAATTAAGTCATTAACTGATGCTCCTCATGGCTGTGTCTGAATACTAGGTTCTCTATGCTTTGTATGAAACAGTATCAAATAGTGAATTTGATCAGTTCTAAACCTACCTGCTAAGAGCATGACAAAAATAGGCAAACTTATTTCTTTTTATATGTAGACAGTAGCATGAAAACGGTATTTTATGTTTTTATAATCAGAATTTCCTGTTTACAAGATAAAATGCAAGTGCATTCACAACTTATTCATATATATTAAAATGAATGGAACACTGATGAGTTGGAAAAACAGAGCAAAGGTTTGTTTGCTTCCTCTAAGTGATACATTAAATAAACTAAAGCAGACAAAACAAATAGTCTGGCAAAATGCTGACAGTGGGTCTAGAATTAACTGCAACTGCAAAATGGACATTCTTTGTTAGTAGTGAATCACTAGTAAAAATAACATTCAGTTAATGATAAAAAGATCAGTTTAGAGATAAGTGAAAATTGATCTGACATTAAATGTTGTGTAAAAAATCAGGTATTGATAGTCTCTCATCTCTCTCTAGAAGGCATTGAGGCAAAATTACGCTTTGGGGGGGGAACAAAAAGACAATAAAATGAAATTGGCAATAAAATTATCTAGAATCTTAACAATGACATTTGAATACAGCCAGATTACAGTAAATTAAGAAAATAAAATTCAGAACATGGTGTTGCTGTTGAGATGTATTCTGCACACAACTAGACTGCTTGTGTCTTTATTGGCCGTCACGACTTTACAGCAACACATGGTGACCCTCAGCGTGATACTGCAAGCGACCACTGGGCGACGGGTGGTGGTGACAGAGCTTGGCATAGCTGAGAGCAGCGGGGACGCTGCCTGGTCCGGACCTGAGAGCTATTGACACCTGGAAAAGGTGAGACACCAAGAAAAGGGACTGTGATAATGGGGAATCAGATTTCTAAAGAGGAAAAGTTGGTGCTATCCTCCTGGAAGCATCTTTTAAAGCGTAAAGGTGTAACTGTTGAAGATTATGCTTTGCAACGTTTGCTACTATGGTGCCGAAAGCAAAGCTTTGAAGCTAACACATCAGTTGCATTTAGCGTAAAGACCTGGGAGAAGGTGAGGCATAAATTGTGGAAAGAGACCTATAAGGGTGCTAAGGATGTAGAAGGTTTGCTTACCACCTGCCACCTGTTGGCTAAGACTTTAAAAGACTGGCTTAATGAACAAGTTTCAGAAGGTGCTCAGTTGCCTGAAACGGAGCCTATGTCAGATACAGAAGGACATGCAGGGGAGGAGGGAGCTTCAGCCACTGCAGTACCACTGACTGATACCTCCCCCTCTGATGATGAATTGGTACTTTAGCAGATAAAATGAAAACAGTGTGGTGTCTGGATCCACCTTCTAAAAAATCTACCAAGGGTCCGGCTCCAAAAGCCCTGAAAGGTCTGAAGGGACCTTCACCCCACAAGCTAGTTCAGACTCCTTGTAAATACAAATCTCCTACTGATATGGTCCCTCACCATTATAACACACCTATGGAAATTGTAAAGGAATTTAAAGCTAAGCAAAGGCTTGCGTCCTCTGTTCCTTTGCCGGAGGAGGAGGAGGATGAGGACACCGATGAAAACAATGAGGAAGACATACTCAGTAAAGGCTTGTATCAATTGGCATTAGCCCCCCCAGCAGATGAGGTAGACATGGAGGATGCTGAAAATGCCTCTGTCTGTAGTCGAGCCTCTCAACCCATACTTGGGGGGTCCCAGTGCCATAAGACATGAACACTGACTGATCTCTGGACTTTGCCACCAGTAACTGTCACAGTGATGCCACGTCATCCTAGGAGATTTTGGGAGAGCATGTGTGTACAGGCTGCAGAACAGGGGGATTGGGAGCTGTTAGAAAAGGTCAGGCATCCCTCAAAAACTGTGGATGAAGGTGTATTTGCTCCAGGAGTAGAACCAGGAGTAGAAGCTTATCCTGTGTTGAAAGCTGTCCCTAACTGGCAACCAAGATAAACATTATGTATTTGCTTGGAAGGCTATTCAGAATTTGCAGATGTATGCTACAAAATATGGTGTTAATTCTCCTGAAATTATATGTGTGATTCGTGCAATTAATGCTAATTTATTAGTTTCTTATGACATTGATCATCTAGCTCTAGTTTTATTTGAACCTGTACAATACCAAGTGTTTAACTTTAATTGGCAGAAACGGAGAACGTACAGCTATGGAAAATACGAGACTTCCTGCAGGGGATCCAAGACTGACAGTAGGAGTTATGGTTTTGATGGGAAAAAAATTACTTTGGTAATCCTGACTTTCAAGACCAATGAGATCCTGCTGTGTTACAACAATGTCAGCAGGTGGGAATGTTAGCTCTGATTAAAACTATGGTGCTTGCTTCCCCTCATCCCAAATATACGACAGTGAAACAAGGAGCGAAAGAACAATTTTTACAATTTGTTGAGCGCATTGCGGTCTTCTCAGAAAAATAAGTAGATGATGAGACTCTGCATCAAACACTCCTGAAGTAGTTAGCAAAAGACAATGTAAACCAAGATTGTCAGAAAATTATAGAAGCATTGCTGGGAGACCCGTCTGTTGCTGTTATGGTCTCAGCATGTTCAAAAATAGGTACTGTAGTCATTTTATGACTGCACTTGCAGCAGTGCTGCACCCTGCTCCTCTCTGTTACAGTCGTAACAAAGAGGGACATCTGAAAGCTAACTGCCCTGCCAAAGGCAACAGGGTAAAGCAAAAAGTCTTACCTAATCCCCCTGGAATTCATTGTAATTGCTGTGGTAAGCCTGGGCACTTTGCTAAACAATGTCGATCCAAATATCATGCTAGTGGTCAGCCCCTGCAGGGAAACGGGAAAGCAAGCGCAGCGACAAGGTGCGCTTAGACGCAAGTACCTTTGTTGTCGCAGCACAACCCGTATGCAGCTCCCCTGGCGTTCCCCTCTGCAACCAGCTCACCTGGAAGACCAGCGATCAGCTGGCGTGGTTGTATCCACCTCTGACACAGTAACAATTTCTTCTACAGATATTGTTAAGGTCCCCTTAGATGCTAAGGGACCTATTGGTTGAGGACTGAGCGCTTTATTGATAGGACGCTCAAGTAGCGCAGTTGCTGGGATAATTGTACATGTAGGAGTGATCAATTCAAACTGTATGGGACAAATCTGTGCCATGGTGTCAACCCCCTATCCTCCGGTGACTATTCCAAAAGGAACTCGTATCGCTCAACTTGTGCCTTTTGTGAGTTGTGTTCCCAGGACAGAGGACCGGGAGAGGCATGCTGGAGGATTTGGATCTACAGGACCTCCACAAGTATTTTGGTCACAGACTGTCTCCCACAAATGTCCACAGATGGTTTGTGAACTGCGCAATGGAAAAGGCTTGCCTTCTGCTGTTAAGGTGACTGGTTTGCTTGATACAGGTGCTGATGTAACCATCATTTCTTTGCACAACTGGCCGAGCTCTTGGCCCATGGTGTCCTCTGATTCAGGTGTTATGGGGTTGCGGGGAACTACACAAAGTCATATTGCAGCTCATTTCATTCTGATTTGTAATCCAGAAGGGTAGGTGGCAACTGTAAGACCATATGTCACTCCTACCCCCCTGACTCTGTGGGGAAGAGATTGTTTGGCTCAATGGGGAGTTAAAATTACCACAGATTTTTAACGGGTGCCACTGTGTTGCGGGGTATTAAGCAGCCCACATTGGCACTGACATGGTTAACAGACACTCCAGTGTGGCTTTAACACTAGCCCCTGTCCAAAGACCTTGTACAAGAACAGTTGGCTGCTGACCACATTGAGCCATCATACAGCCTCTGGAACACTCCTGTGTTTGTCATAAAAAAGAAATCTGGTAAATGGAGGCTGTTACGTGATTTGTGGCAGGTCAATGCTGTCATGGCAACGATGGGAGCTCTGCAGCCAGGGTTCCCCTCGCCCACAATGATACCCCTCGACTGGCCAATTATAGTGATTGATTTGAAAGATTGTTTTTTCCCTATTCCTCTATCTGAAGCTGATAAGGAAAAATTTGCTTTCACAGTACCCTCTGTTAATCATGCAGAGCCTTCTAAATTATATCAATGGAAACTTTTGCCTCAAGGAATGAAAAACTCGCCTACCATTTGCCAGTGGTTTGTTGCACAGTCTTTATCTCCTGTGAGAATTCAGTTCCCAAATTGTTACTGTTACCGCTATATGGATGATATTCTGTTCGTCGCTGATCAAAATGAAATATTGGTGGCCGTTGCCAATACAGCAAAACAATCACTGCAGTCATTTGGCCTTGTTGTGCCAGAAAAAGTACAGAACACAGAGCCCTGGAAATATCTGGGTTTTCTTGTTACTGCAAAACGTCTCAGCCTGTTCAATTAGAAATGCTTATCAATACCCTAACTGATGTTCAGAAATTAGCAGGCTCATTAAATTGGATTCACCCTTATTTGGAATTGACTAATTCGCAACTGTAACCTCTTTTTGCACTGCTCAAAAATTCCACTGACCCAATGGAACCACAATCCTTAACTCAGGAAGCAATTCAAATTATCTGGCAGGTAGAAACATTTTTAACAGAATGCTTTGTTTCTCCCATTGATCTGTCTCAAATTATTCAGCTTTTTGTTCTCATAGATCAAGTCTCCCCCCCGGGATTCTTCTTCAGTGGAATGAGGCTTGAGATGATCCCCTACACATTCTTGAGTGGTTGTTTTTACCCTAAAGATCTCGTAAAACAGCTCATGGCCTGTTTGAATTGCTTGCTGACATTATTATGAAAGCATGAAAATGGTGCATTGAAATGAGTGGTAGAGACCCTGGTCATATTGTTTTGCCTGTACAGTCCTGGTATTTTGAGTGGTGTTTGAATCATAAATATAAGTTACAAGCTGCCATGGCAGATTATCAGGGACAAATTGCTTATCACTTGCCTTCACATCCTTTACTGAAATTTTTTAGCGAAGTACCTGTTGGACAAAAACTGCTGTCACCTGCAGAACCAGTGGATGGACTCACTGTTTTTACTGATGGTTCTGGCAAAACAGAAAAAGCTGCTGTGGTTTGGTATACACCCACAGGATGGCAACATGAACTTGTTTAACAATCCGGGTCTCCACAAGTCGTGGAACTCTGTGCTGCTACCCTGGCCTTTCAACTTTTCCCTCAGCCTTTTAATCTTCTTACGGATTTTGCTTATGTAGAGGGACTTGTACAGCATTTGGATCAAGTTGTGATCTCTGGTTGTTATGATCATCTTCTTTTTCAGGTTTTGTTAACACTTTGGTGTACCCTACAGTCTCGTACTGCCCCTTACTTTGTTTTTCATATTCACAGTCACACCTCACTACCTGGATTTTTTACAGAGGGTAATGCTCGAGCAGACGCTCTTGTAGCTCCTGCACAACTCGGTCCTGTTCCAGATAAGCGACAAGCTTTCCTCTCACATTGATTTTTTCACCAAGGCAGTACTGCCCTCAAGCGACAACTTGGTATTCCACAATCTCTTGCTCGTTCTATTGTGGCTGCCTGTCCAGATTGTCAGGGTCAGAATGTCCCTGTCTTTTATGGGACCAACCCTAGAGGAATGAAAGCTTTATAGGTATGGCTACCTGATGTTACTCATAGTTCTGAATTTGGATGTCTCAAGTATGTGCATGTTTCTGTTGATACATATTCTTATGCTGTTTGTGCTACTGCTCATGCAGGTGAGCGTGCTCTTGATGTGATTCGTCATTTTCAACAAGCTTTTGCTAGCCTTGATGTCCCACTGCAAGTAAAGACTGACGATGGCCCTGCCTATAGTGCTCAGAAATTTCAAACCTTTTTGAGTGATTGGGAAGTGTCTCATGTTACTGGCATCCCTCGCTCTCCTACTAGTCAAGCTATTGTGGAACGCATGCATGGCTCTCTGAAGCTCCTGCTTCAAAAACAGAAAGGGGAAATGCAGGGTGCTCCCCCTCAAGCCCATTTAGACAAAGCTGTTTATGTTTTAAATTTTTTTACTTTTCCCCTGAATTTTCATTTTTCTGCTCTCTTTTTGCATTTTTCCTCGTTAGTGTCATCTCAACCTATGACTGCTCCTGCTCCTGTTCAGGTACGGGACCTGATTTCCGGACAGTGGTCTGGCCCTCATCAACTGATAACCTGGGGTAGGGGTTATGCTTGTGTTTCTACAGATGCTGGACTGTGGTGGGTTCCTGCTTGGTGTGTGCATCCTGTTTTGTCTCGGGGGAACAATCAGTGATGACTCCTACACGGAACAGCTCAAACGACTCATGCAGCCACAATGTCTGCATGATCCTGATGAAAGCAAGGAACCAAACCACCTTCTGTGCCTCCTTGGTGAAACCAGAGCTGCCTTTTCATACGTGCCTTACTGGGGCACCTGTAAATGGCACTGATGTAGTGAAACTTGTTTCTAACGTCACACGCTTACCCAATTTGGCAACAAAGGCTTGTAATGCTTCTGTGCAGAGCTGCATTGCAAATGTAAATGATTGGCTTGTTAAGCTACCAGTAGGCATTGCACCACAGAAGTTAGATATTTTGGGTACCTTAACTGCTACTGCTTGCTTTTATTTTGATTCTACAGGTACAACATTACTAGCCAATAAATACCATAAGGGACATGGTATTCTGTGACAGCTTCTGCTGTCACAGAAACCCTTTTGCAAGACCTGTCTCCAGATATGCCTTTTTACCAGAATGCATCTGTTTGGTGTTTGTACACACATAAGTGACCCTCACCTGGTGTAACAGTTGCTCGTCAACTTCCAAAAGGATACTTTTTTATTTGTGGCAATCGGGCATGGCCAGGTATTCCAGCAATGTCTGTTGGGGGACCCTGTACCTTTGGTAAACTAGGTTTGCTTACCCCCACAGAAGAGATTTTATTGAATCATTTCCATCTCTACAGTCATGTTTTGACCAAATGGTCACTGGCCCTTGACTCTACATGTCAGGACACGTTAACTTTGTGGGGTCAGGCATCTATGGTATCTACTTCTTTTTTTGCCACAAGTTGCCTCAGCAGAAGTGTTAAAGCAAATCAACGCCTTGGCGTGCTGGGTAACCAAACAAGCAAATTTGATCTCAGATACTTTATACAAACTTGCCACTGATGTAGATAGTGTCCGTCATGCAGAATCGCACTGCCATTGATTTTTTGCTACTCACACATGGACATGGTTGTCAGGAATTAGAAGGCATGTGGTTTTTAAATATTTCTAATCACTCTGAATCCATTTACAAACAAATTGCCACACTTCAGGAACAGACAAACAAGATCAAACAGGAAACTCTTTTTTTTTGGCCTGGAAGGCTGGTTGTCTAGTTGGGGCATTTCAGGATGGTTACTGTCCTTGCTCAAGACACAGGTCTTAGTTTTGGTGATAGTCATGGTTGTGCTTGTAATGTTGCCGTGTTTTGTGTCGTGTTTGCAAAGGGCCCTGCAAAGAATGACACAGGCAATTTTTCTAGCACAATTACAGAAAAGGGGAATTATAGGGGTTAATAGTGGGTCTATTAGCTTCCTGGATGAAGATATTGACTTGACAAATTTTGGGTGTATCCCTGAAGATAAGGAAGCCAGTACGCAGCCCTAATGGAGGATCAAAGACAGACTGTAAAGTCAGTAGGCCCAGGATGTGGGAACCACAAAAAGGCCTTGAGCTTTGCCAAATGTATCAGCAATAAATCATAGCCAATTAAAATGCTGTTGCTTGCTAAGTTTGCTGCTTGCTGCTATCAAAGTATATAAAAACGGCAGATGAGAAAATAAAGAGAGACATATTCTGGACACAACTAGACTGCTTGTGTCTTTATTGGCTGTCACGACTTTACAGCGACAGCACGGAGTATGATGAGTGCTGTAATATGAGCCTTTCCAACTTCTGAATCCAGAAGATTGTTTAAAATTCTGCTCTGTCATTCAGAAGACTACTTTTCCCAGGAAAATTACAAAATAAATCTAGGTGAGTTGCCAGCAATTGGTCCCAGCACCTGAGTTCCTCAGTTTACTGACAGAAGGAACTCTTTTTGAAAATAAGAACAGTAATATGCATTAGCTTTTTAAATGGAGAGGGAAAGGAGAGGAAAAATGAGGGCTGGATAAAATGGGATGGGAACAGGAACCAGTGAACTAATTTGTTAACCAAGAAGAGAAGACTTGTTGTCCACAGCACCAACGGTACGCCAGCTACTAGGGAATCAGATTAGGCATGTAATCTGCAATGTGGTAAATTGCTTTTGAAGGGACTCTCCAAAAGCTGTTTATAACCAGATAAGGTTGGTTAAGCAGGACTTGCTTTTCATAAAGCCATGGTGGCTGCACATTATCCCCTGGTTGTCCTGCACATGCCACATGATGGTACTCAAAATGCCCTCCTTCATGACCTTTCCCAGCATCAAGACCTTGTTGACAGGCCTGTAGTTCCCCAGATCCTCCTTCCAGCACTTCTAGTAAATAGGCATCACATTTGCCAACCTCTCGTCACTTGGGACTTCCCCAGTTAGCCAGGACTGTTGATAAATAATGGAAAGTGGCTTGGTGAGCACTTTGGCTCCTTCAGTAACTTTTGGGTGAATCCCATCTGGCCCTGTACACCCGTGTGTGTCTAAATGGCATAGCAGGTCATTGAGCATTTCCCCTTGGATTATGTGTGCTTTTCTTCTGCTTCTCGCCCCTGTCTTGCAGCTCAGGGGGCTGGGTAGCCTGAGAATATCTGGTGTAACTGTTGAAGACTGAGGCAAAGACAGGGAGCAATGCCACACATTACAAGGATCATTAACACAACCACTGTGGCCTCCAATCCATCTCAAACAGATGTCAGAGGATACCCTTGTTAATTGTGATCTTTCCTTCCACATGGATAACTGCATCCACATAGAGCTAATTACAATTAATATAGCATCCTTGATCCACAAATATAATAATAATAATGTTAAAAGATCTTGTATCAGTGATAGTAATCTGAATCCTCATGACTGGTCTTATCACATCCTTTTTTATTTTATTTTACTACTTGTATATTGCACTATTACAGACTGTTCACTGATTTGGCTGCAGGGTGACCGTAGCTAGGCTCTTCAGATGGGGTGTGTGCAATGCTGCTATGGACAAGTCCAAGTGACAGACAGACCCTGTAGAGCACTGTCTCCTAGTTTGATTTGATGTCAAATGCTGTTTGCATTCAACATTGACACGTTTGCTTTGCCAAGACAGATTCATTATATATCTTCAAAATAATGAATCTATTGTGAAAAAAATTAAACACTTATTGGTACATGATACAGGTGTACCGTGTCCTTGATGAATTTTCTAACCAGCAGCTCAATTGTCTTCCACATTTTTGAGCAGCAAATATATAAGCATTTTACTAAAAGCATACCAGCTTCACCATGATATGGAAGACACCCTTTGAGTAACCTGATGGTTGAAACATAACCAGAAGATAAAGGAACAAAATAAGAAGCTCTTAGCACATGGATGACTTTATATTATACTGATGCAATTGCTTAGGAGTTATAATACCATTTACATTAGTGTTAAAAACAGGAAAAAAAATCTTCCCACTTGAAACAGTTTGGAAGAATTTCAAAAAACTTTTGGCAAATAATTAGTGACAGAATATTTTTTCCAAGTCTGCAACACATTTGAGCTGTGAGAGGGATGAACACATCAGCATGAATATTCTCCCAATGTCACTAAATTTTAAAACACAATCCCAATGTTGTGGGAATTAGTTTTTCTGACCAATTTCCTATGGATGGCACCAGCAGGCTTCATAGTGTAACCCATCATTCCCCCAGGACCTCAGCTATCCCTAACTGTATATCAGGAGGCCATTTGACACAGCCCAGAGCCACAGATCCCTGCTCCTACCTAACTGCGGAACTTACAGACCCAGCCTTAGCTTTTGCCTGTGCCCAGGGTAGTGCCTGGTGTCTGGGACTGGGGCTGTCCAGCTTCCTGGTTAGCTGCTAGGATCAGGCCTGGCCACCAAGCTCCCTGCCAACCTGGGGAGCCTTTGCACCCCTGTGGAGCTGCCCACCTGTGCTGTGTCATAACAATTCAAATGTAAAAACATGGTTTTCTTTTTGGACAAAAAGTTTCTCTGACTAATTTTAAAGTCAATAGCATACAATGAAAACTGAAAAAAATCTTCATCTGAGTATTGAATTCACACTGCTGTAAGAACCATAGCACTCATTTGCTCCAGCTTATAAATGCATGACTGAAAGTACCAGAAATACAGATGAAAACAACTAATGGTGAAATATCACAGCCCCAAAATAAATCTGATATGACACAGAACAGAATTATAAAGCAAAGCCTTTTTCCTTTCTTCTAATATTATTTCTAAAGTGGGAGAATTTACCCTATGTTTTTATGCTCAGTGGCACATTTTTGTCTGATTGGTAATTCACAGTAAACATTTTAGGCTTGTTCAGTGATGTCTGTCCATTTACTGCTGTTCAGATGAAAGCAATGCTATAAAGATCAGGCTGAATTGCATTGAAAAGGTGAAAGCTGGCATTCAAAGCAGTATATCACTTACTTATGGGTGTATGAAAAAACCAGCAAATTTTACTACCTTAGACGTGATACAATTAGGTGATAACCAACACATAGCTTGGAAAGCATATAGATTATCTGGAGAGGATAAATGCCTATATAGACTGCTGCTTAAAGCTAATTGAGCTAGTGTTTTTGAGGGAATAAGTGAATCAGACTGCAGGGCCCTGGTTAATCACAACAGGACCCCTTTGATCTCACTTGTTTCAGCTGTGGAAATGGTGCTGCTCAGCAAGTACAGAGACCAGAAAAGATCTTAATGCAACATTTACCACAGACTGGATGAGTGACACTAAGGGCCATGCATGCTTAGCATGTGAGCAGACTTATTACTTAATTAGGTAATGTGTTATACAGACGTAAGAGACAAGGCTGACAAATAGACCTTAGTGATTAGGAAACAATAAACTTAGAGTTACAATTCCTTCTCCATGGTCACTAAACTAAGGCTGCTATGGAGAGGAGGGCACAGGATGCAATGCCAGAGTTCTGCTTGTTCCTTGCTTGCCTCATCAGATCATAAAAAAAGTCTGAAAGATGAATCTGATGTCCAGTATTATGTACGGGCAAGGTAGGATAAGTGATTTCTGGAACAGTTACCATTGGAAGCAGGCAGCTAAAACTGTAGGAAAAAAGTCATATTGGGTCAGGTTGTCAAGTCCAGTACTCAGTCTAGTACAGGAATCCAAGCAGATGCCAGAAGTGAATAAAAGTAGGGTAAGCAAATAGTGATCCTTTTGAATAGCATTCACCCAGATTTCAACAACTTGCAGGTCAGCTTGAGCTAAACATATTTAAGAATTATCAGAGGATTTATTTCCTGCAATCATGTCTTGTCTGCCCTAAGTCTTCTGACACTCACAAAACCCCTGTGAACTAAGGATCTCCTCAGGTCACAGGTATGGTGTGTGAGGAGCTTCATCGTCATTGTATCACTTGAACCTAGCTTCTATTAACTTAATTTGAGGGCACTCTCATATACTAAAAGATTCTGGCAATCAGTTTGTTTGTCATCTCCAATTTACTTGTCATCTCCAAGCTACTATCATCTAACACACCTTTATAGTACTTCATGTCACACTTTGTCTCCTGGGCTGGAGAGTCTTCAGTTTAATGAGTAATTCCTAGAATGTAAATCACCTCATATTTCTCACCGGCCTGGTCACATTCTTCATCGTATTTTTACAAGTTCTACCAGATTACAAGTGGGATACAGTCATTTATAAAACTGCTACTGATTGTTCTCATCCAGCTTCTTTCTTACCTCTTTATCCCTCAAAAGAATTTTGTTTTTATTCAGACTCTGTAGCAAGGCAGTTCAAAGAACATCTCTTCAAGGTCCATGTAGATAAGACTGAGCAGATTTTGCTAATGCTTCTACACAGTTAATGCTCTCCACATGTTTATCCAAGTATTACGGAATCATTCTTTATTACAATTCTCTACTAATCTGCGTGTTGCAGACACCAAGATTAGAAGATTATAGTTCTTCTAGATCTCCATACAGCCCATTATAATGTTACAGTAACATCTGGGAACTTTGACTCCTAAAGTGCAAGGGATTTTTAAAAATGTGGCTACCTACTCCAGTTATCTAGTTCAGGTACTGTTTAACTTGTTCATCAGTGACTGGGATGAAGGGACAGATGCCTTCTCAGCAACTTTGCTGATGATACAATCTTGGGAGGAGTTGTTGATACTCCCAGAGTGCTGTGCAGCTATTCAGAAGGACCTTGACAAGTTGGAGAGATGGGCAGACAGGAATCTTTTGAAATTCAACAAGGGCAAATGTAGGGTCCTGCACCTGGAAAGGAATAACCCCAGGCACCAGTACAGTGGGGTTGACCTGCTGGAAAGCAGCTCTGCAGAGAAGAAACTCAGGGTCCTGGTGAAGAACAAGCTGTCCATGAGCCAGCAGTGTGTCCTGGTGGCCAGGATGGCTGATGGTATCCTGGCATGTATTAGGAATATCATTGCCAGCAGGTCGAGAGAGGTGATCCTGCCCCTCTGCTCAGATGTGGTGAGGCCACATCTGGAGTTCTGTGTCCAGTTCTGGACTCCTCAGGACAGGAGATACATGGAGCACCTGGAACAGGTCCATTGGAAGACAACAAGGATGATTATGGTACTGGAACATCTCTTTATGAGGAAAGGCTGATAGATCTGGGCCTGTTCAGCCTCTAGAAAAGAAAACTGAGAGGGGATTTCATCAATGTCTATACATATC